AGCTATCTCATAATTATGACTTAGCTATCTCATAATTATGACTTAGCTATCTCATAATTATGAGATACTATCTCATAATTATAAGATACTGTCTCATAATTATGAGATAACTAAGTCATAATTATGAGATACTATCTCATAATTATGACTTAGCTATCTCATAATTATGACTTAGCTATCTCATAATTATGAGATACTATCTCATAATTATGACTTAGCTATCTCATAATAATGACTTAGCTAAGTCATAATTATGACTTAGCTAAGTCATAATTATGACTTAGTTATCCCATAATTATGACTTTATCTCATAATTATGAGATAGCTAGCTAAGTCATAATTATGAGATACTATCTCATAACTATGAGTATCTCTAAATTTTATTTATTTTTTTATCAGGGTGGCGGAAATGGGCTTCCATTTTCTGAAAACAAGATTATTATTCTTACACAATTAGTTCTTGTTTAGTAAATCAGTCTCAAAACAAGATCAAAAAAGTTTTTTTTGGCTGGATATAAGATTTTAAAACTTGGTTAGATGGACGTTTCTTTGCAGTGTGGGATYTAGCAGACATGTTGATGGTTTGGATGAAGCTATTATTTTAGATAATTCAGAAATCTCAACAGGACAAAAACCGTCCAGACATAAATCAGGTTCTAGTGACACTAAAGCTGCCTCATTTGYCTTAAACATGGGTTTTACACAATCCGTTAACACTCATACAGGTTTGTATTTTTATTTTTGCAATATGTTGACTTTTTCTCCTGACAGCTCAGCAGAAGTCACCCAGACATCTTTAGTTTGGTTCTGCTCCCCCCGCACCTCCTCGCAGTGGCTGGATCACTGGGCTCGACAGAGGCTGAAGTGGTGGCGGAAGGTGAGCGTTTCAGGCTTMTGTACAGGACTTCACCAGTAACTTACATTTAATCTTTTGTCTGCTCTTTTCTTCTGCTCAGTTTGCCTTGTCCCCGTCTGACTTCAGCAGCAGCGAGRTTCCAGAGGAGGAGCTTGACGAGGCGGCATCTCAAGGGGTGAAGATCATGTACAGCTTTCCGTGGGGGCCAGAGTCTCTGGAGACGCTGTGGTGTCGAGGAGACGCTGAACTGCTGCACACACACGGAGGGGATCGCTCCAAACTGCAGGTCGGTCTGTCTGTTTTTTWCATTAAGATGCTCCTGCCAGCTCACATATTGCATCTTTAGTGTACCCAGTCTGGAGACAAATTGTGCACAAGTTGAAAAATGTAGGATAGCTGCAAGTCTTCCAGGAAACTCACCCTGAAATCAGACCGTGCAGTGCTTGAGGAAARAAAATAACGGGACAGAGCAATTAAAGGCCACTGAGGAAGTGTAAAAAACTGTTTTTATTAATGTGTTGCAGGCGTGTTATACGGGGACAGAACCAAAACAATAATAAACTTCTGATTTACAACTCTTCACCACTGGAGACTTTTCTTTTTTGTGTGTGATCCCACATTCACTCATGTTTACGTTTCAGTGCCGAGACGGTCGGAAGTCGGTTCCTCACGTTGTCTCTGTTGGCGGGAACATAGACCGGGGCATGATGGCTGTCCTGTCCAACTCATTTCAGCAGCTGAAGAGAGAAGACGGCAAAAAGAAGCTGGAGCAGAGAAAGGTTGATCGTCTGAAACCGTCTTTCTGGCTGCCACTGTTCAAACCCCCTGATGGTGACTTGGTCTTTGTTCACTGTTTAATTCCAGGTTTTGAAGTTGCATCCGGTGTTAGCTCCGGTCAAAGTAGCTGTAGACATTGAGAGAGGAGCCACTGTCGAGCTGAGGCAGGTAAGAAAATCTGTTCATATTGAAATAAATCGCTGACGTTTTTCTTTTTGTTGGTTTGTTTTGATTAACGTTTGCATTTAGTCATCTTGCGTTGAGACGTGGAGTCATTTTGGTCAAACCATGAAAATAATGTTCAGCACAATCTCATGTGATATCACAAGATGATTGACACTAACAGACCTGGGTTAAAATGTTATCGCCTGCTGTGGCAGTGAGCAATAATAATGAGTATTTGAACCTGTTTCATAGGTTTGTGATGGTCTTCTAAAGGAGTTTCTAGGAGCTAAGATCTCTGCGTGGCCTGGATACCTTGAAACTCTGCAAACATCTTTGGAGCAGCTGAATGCCAAGTAAGTTACTTCTGGCTGTGTTGGTGCTGCTCTGTTCTGCAGACCTGATCATTCAGCAGAGGTAAATAAATGGTTTAATCTCAGTTTTTGGGTCGTTTCATTGCAGATATGATGAGATGGGAGTTCTCTTCACGGTGGTGATCAGTGAGAGCACTCTGGAGAGCGGGCTCCTTCAGGTCCGCAGCAGAGACACAACCATCAGGGAGACTGTGCACATCTCAGAAATCAAAAACTTCCTATCCAGATACGTTTCTGCAGCCAACAACTTCTGAGTTTTTCTATCATTCTCAAAGTATCTTATTCGACGTGGAGCTTTTATTTGCTGAAGAAGTCTCTTGGAGGAGAGATGAACATTTCACTAAAGATGATTTTTTTCTACCTGGATTACTGAGATGCATCAGGACAGCTTTTATTCACACATTCTTTCTGAAATTTTATGTTTGTTTGTTTGAGGCGTGCCCCTATCATTACTAAAAGTTGTGTATGTATCTTGTGTATTTTTTATGTGATTAGGTTTGTCAGAATAAAGTCTGTCACAATGGAAAATTTCCCACCTTTATTGTTAATGTACAGAACCACATTTTCATATTATTACTCTTTTGGTCTAGTTTTAAGTAAAAATGGCAGGTGTACATTTTCTGAAGCTTTCTGTCCATTTATACATTTATCAGATAGCTAATCAAAGTAGTGAATCACTGGAAAAAAAATCTCGCGAGATTTTATTTGTTCCTCCTCTTTGATTGGTCAGTTGACTGAGCACGTGCGAGCGCACTTCCGCCGCGTAGCATTAGCTTGTAGCGATGGCTGCAGACAAGCAGAACGAAGTCAAAGTTTCTCTTGCAGAAGAAAATAAGGAAAATCTACTAGATGGGGGAGTTGGTTTGGAAAGTATCCTTAACTGTTCAGCATGTCGAGCCCAGAGATAGTTTATTATTATTATTATTGTTTCGGAAGATGTTTCTAGTTTAGCAGCAACCGCTAGCTTGATGTTAGCTTCTTTAGGTTACGTGTCATTTTTGAAGCAGGCTGTATGTTGGAAGAAATAAATTATGATTTAATGTTGACACTACAGAATTTACTTTCATGTTTATTCTCTTAGACAGTTGACAATTTCACGTTGAGCTTATAGTCAGATGCTTATTACGTATTTCTGCAGCTTATAAAAACCAAAACAAGATTCATGAGACCCAAAGCGTCTAGACTTAAATGTCTCTTGTATATTTTTGTTCTGGTGTATTGTCCTTAACATTAAAGTCTTACAAATTATCAAGGAGTCCCAGCAACAGCATGGCCTGAGACATGGAGATTACCAAAGATACAGGCGAGTACTTTAATTCACAGTAAATTTATACAATGTATATATGTATTTATTCTCTTTGTAGATTGGCATTGAACTCTTAAGTGTAAATAGTTTCTCCAAAGTTCCTGCGTAAACTACACTTTCTKATTTTTTTATTCAAACAAATGCACAGCTTGTGAAAAACCTTTTATAGGAAAGTTGTATGAGGAGTATATTTCCTAATCTGGCATATTTTTMTGAATGTCAACACCTGCACATTATGAGAAATCTATCATAGTTTTGTGAATAACTTAGATTTTAAGGTAAGGCTAAAATAAAACCACAAACACTATTTTCCTTACCTGCTCCAACATCTACAAAACTGCAGTATTTCACAGTATAACATTTTTTTCTAGTTAAGCAGCAAAAATTGAGTTATTTTATTTTATTATTTATTTGTTTGTTTGCAGGGGCTACTGCTCCCGTAGGCTGCGTCGCCTACGTAARACTCTTGGCTTCAAGATGGGCAACCGGCACAAGTTTGTTGGAAAGAAAGTCACTGTGGAAATGCTTTCTGACAGCAGGTTGGTAATAAAACTTTTTAAATGTATATTTATGCATTGTTGATATGATCTGCTGCCTCAGTTAGCATGCTAATTTTTTTTTTAATTCATGCTGGTACAATTAGAAAAAGACGGAACAGCTATGGCTTGTTTGGAAGACGAGCAATCCTCTTCTCTGTAAGAAGAACCTGACCTGACGACCTCTGAAGCATTGATTGTTGGACGTGTGTGTGTGTGTGTGTGTGTGTGTGTGTGTGTGTGTGTGTGTGAATTTTCATTTTATTTGCCTTTTATTAGTCTTGAAAGTCACACTGACAGAGGATCATTTTCTTTCCAGAAGGCCTGAAGTTTGCAGCACAGTCTTGCCTAAAAAAAACGTTTCGAATGTTAAGTTGTTGAAAATGTCCATTTAAAAGTGGTGGCAATCAACCAGTGCAAGAGTCAGCCCTCCTTCCCTTCACCCCAGGTATCTTTTACTGGTTTTGATGGAAGCAGAGCGTGCCTGGAGCTACGCCATGCAGCTGAAACAAGAGGCCAACACAGAGCCCAGGAAGCGTTTCCACCTTCTCGCTCGATTACGCAAAGCTGCCAAACACAGCGAGAAGCTGGAGAAGCTCTGCGAGAGCCCCTGTGTCGACGCTAAGACCAAACTGGAGGCTCAGGTGAGCTGCAGAGATTTATCTCCATATATTTACAGAAAAAAAACCTGAGTGCAGTCATACTGGAATAACTGTTTCTATTGCAGGCCTACACTGCGTACCTGACTGGGATGGTGGATTTTGAGCTGCAGGAGTGGAAACTTGCCATGGAGGCCTTCAACAAGTGCAAGTGCGTCTTATCAGGACACGACTGCTGCTTTCTCATGCAGCGGCAAAAAAAAAAAGATGTCTGTTGATCTTTTTGCAATTACTTAAGAGCATGTGTAAAATCAAGCACCACATGCTCAAATAGATTCATTTACACCTGCCTTTTTATTGACTTTTCTATACAAACATATATTGGTATTTTACGCTGTGATTGGGAAATACAGTATTTTCAATGTATAATATTGCCTTGTGTTGGAGCGACTGCAGAGGATAGCTGAAACATAAGTAGATACGAACATGGTTTAGACTTTTTAGTGTGTTTCAAAGAACCAGAAAAAGGGATGTATACATGGTACCTGGACCATAATACATCACAAATACTGACTTTGAGCATGTGTGTTAGTAAGTGTAAAAAGGTCAGTTCAGTCAGCAGTTTGTCATGTTCAGATTTTTATGAATACAGATTAATGAACGTCTYTTTTCAGGACCATTTATGAGAAACTGGCTAGTGCGTTCACTGAGGACCTGGCTGTTCTGTATCGTCAGCGCGTGGACGAGATCTCACCCAACATCCGCTACTGTGCTTAYAACATCGGTGAGCCTCAGCTGTTCTTCTGAACCGTCGTTCATTTTTGGTGCTAAAGTTGTACCCCCTCTGCCACACACACTTCCTAAATGTGTTTTGCTTTAAAACTACAGGTGACCAGAATGCCATCAATGACTTGATGCAGATGAGGCTGACTGGAGGAGGAGGGGGCATGATGGCTGAGAAACTAGAGGTAAACCCACAGGAGTTCAAACYGTTTCTWTTTATGTAATATYGTTTGGGGAAGAAYGTGAAAGTCAAACGTTCTGCCCAGKGATCACAGTATTGTTTTATTTTCCCCCAACACAGGCCCTGATCACTCAGGCACGAACGAAGCAGGCAGCCACGATGAGCGAGGTGGAGTGGCGAGGACGAACAGTTCCTGTGAAGATTGACAAGGCTCGCATTTTCCTGCTGGGTCTGGCAGACAACGAGGCGGCCATCGCTCAGGTCAGAGYCTCCTGCTTGTTTGGTTCTAACGGTACAAGCTGAAGGTTTTAACCTTCCTAAACCTGAGTCTTGGATTTCAATCAGCATCACTTCAAAATGCTAAAAAAAGGGTTATTCTAGTGCTTCACAAAAATCTTATCTTAAACTAAATGACAGGCCGTGCCAGTCCAGCATTGGTTCATGCAGTTCCTCCAGATAACCAGTGTGGGGCGCTCTCCACTTCAAAGTATCACTTATCCYGTCTGTGTCACTCCTCTTGCATTATGCCTCAACACTCCCTGCAGACACACCTGTCACACCCTCAGCCACTCAGCTCTGTGGCATGCACCATGTCTCATCACACAACTGCATTCTGTGCATTTTAGCCCTGACCTGCATGCAGGACTCCACCCAGCTGCTGGCCTCTGTGGACACATTAAACACCTCGTTTTCTAACGGAGCTTTCTGGGGCTCAGGAGGTCATGAAGCTGAAAGCAGCTGCTAATGAATGTGAGCAGAAACGTTTCTAAGGCCTCAGCAATGAATGTATTTTTAAATATATTTATTTATATTCAACATTTTATGCTTTCCTGATCTTATCTCTTAGCTGTGGGTTCCATAAGATACTGGGTTGAGCCCAGACATCGGTCCCAGTTAAAACGCCTGTTCTGATCAGATTATCAGTGAAGGATGCTCAACAGGTTGAGCTGGTCGTGCTGGGCCTTGACAGGGTGTTGGTGACAGTGTTCACAAAGTAACATCACCCTGCAGGGTGGGTTAGAGAGGTTTGAGTCATCTCTTAGTTATTATTACAACTAGAAATATTCTTTTAGTGTTCCTCCACATCCTTTAGCTTTGTGTCCTCTGAGGAGCAGAAGTAATTTGTAAGGACATTTCTGTGAGGAKGTTAATATCCTACATGTAGTAGATGGCTCATTTACAACCTCAGATTGGAGAAATGTTTTAATTCTGACTGGATTGGTGAGTTAATGCTTAGTCCAAATGAAGAACAAAGTGGATTGCTGTCATCTCAAATCAACTTCACCGTGAAACATTTCATTGTGGTTCATTCAAAAAATATAAAGGATTTTTAGGCTGCTATTGTTTACACAGTGTAAAGTTTTGTTTTAAATACAGATTAGATGTCCCAGGCTCTGATATATCCTGAAAGCTTATTCTATAAATATGTTTCTGTAAATGATGTCACTTTTCCCTCTAACTCCATTACCTGTCTTCCTATGGCACAGTCCCTTCTAGTTTAAGATCTGGAATTCTGGTTTTACACTTCAGGATAAAATACTTTAATGGTAGCGGTGCAAACATATTTATAACCTTAAAAACTAGACTTATATCGCTGAACATTTGATCATTTTTACAGGCTAAGATCCTATACCTACTGATATTATAATACTGAACAGGAAAGGGTTGCTTTTTTATAAAATTACCTTTTTGAAGAGAGATTWGATGGTTTTATCCCATTTGTATTTGATATATATGAGAAAAGATCTGTAGCTCACAATATTATTAATAATACATTTTTAAATGTGCCTTTCAGAACA